CCGAAGATATTCATTGACTTTAAATTTAAAGGATAGCCGACTGGAGGCCGTCCTGATATCCGTGGGCAGCGCATTCCACAGTAAGACTGACTGAATGAAAAATGACGAGTGGAGAAAGTCGGTTCGGTGTGTGGGACCTTGGAGGAGGAGATTGTTTGTGGAACGGAGATACTAATAGTGGTTGGTGCTCACATATTGAAAGCAGGAGGCTAAATAACTTGGAGAAGTGGGGGAATTAAGCAGGGAGTATAAAGTGGTTAGTGCCCGTTGTTCCCTGCGTTGACATATGGGCAACCACTTTAGTTGCAATCGGTATGCAGAAACATGGTCGTATTTACGCAGGTTGAAGATGAATCGAATACAGTTATTCAGAAGTTTTATATAGTAGTATAACATGATTAAAGTTTTAAGATACAAATCTATAGTTGATAGATACGGGGACATATTCAGAGATAAAGCGGCAACTTACAGCTATAAATCAATTTGCCATACAAAACAAAATTCATGTAACCAGTTTCTACTAAAACAAAACACTATTATTTAAAACTTACTTGTAAAGAAATCGAAATGGTGTTGGTATCCTTTTGCTAGAGCCTTCCTTAGCGCCACAGATGCTAGTGATCTAACTTGCATATGGCTGCCGGAGTTCCCAGGCAGAAATAAGACTGGGACACCATCAAACCTGTCGGTGTATTATTAGATAGATTCTCTTCTAGAACAGCATGATAATGGTGTTATGTGTCAATGGCAATGTCAAATGTTAACTAACTCCAACTAATATTAGAATTAGAAATACAGAGGAAAGCTGCATAAATATTACATGGTAATTAATTAAAAAGAGAATAGTTATTGATGAGTATAGATACTATTGTTGTTATTTTCATAGATATTTCTCAAATATAATAATGCTGGTTAAGTTAAATATTAGGTAACTGATAACTTATTTTCGAAATCCTAGTTTCACCAAAAAAAAACTTTGTTATGAATAAATGAATAATGAATACTATTTAATATGAATACTTGATAAAATACATAATTACATACCACATTTTTCTGGCTCTCTCAGTGAATCTTCCTTCACTATATGCGTACAATGCATATTGCGGATTAATCTTATTCTCCGGAACAGATAATCGCTAAAAATATCAATGATTAAAACCTGTGCCAGTGGATATTATAATGAATTTATATAGGAAATAATGAAATACTTACCACAAATTGTGGATACTCAAACATGTAAGTCATAATACAATAATTATTTTTGTCACTAAAATACAAGTTCAAAACACCGAGAAGATAACCCAAAACAAACACAATCGAAAGGATTTGAAACACACTGGAACCCAAAATATTTAACAATCTCATTTTGAAGGCTTTATTAACGCGAAATCTTTAGTAATACGGGTGTAATAGTACACCTTTAATTAATCACATTGCTTGTGAAAATATTTAACTAAAACGATTGAATAATTTCGTTCTTCACTATACTCGGAATTTTAATTCGATTCCAGATTTGACAATTTCAGTGTTGCAACGTTATGA